AGACCCTTAAAAGTATTGCATAAAGCTGTTACTCCTACCGAAATTAAAGCTAGGAGATGGAACTACACACTCCATCGCTGAGCTCTGACGCTGAGCGAGATTTCCAACTGAACACAGACAACGCTGCTGAAGTTAAATCGCTGCGAAAGTGCAGGGAAGCGCGCGCTCGCCCGCCCTCTGCATATATAGTGTGAAGCTAATACCTCACTCTCACAACTTGGGGACGACGACGAACAGATGCAAAAGCAGTTGCCTCTGCCTGGGCTCTTTCGAGTGTTCGAGTCTCAAAACAGGCGTGACAGACAGCTAGAGGTTCCTTTCCGCGGAAAAGATCCCCCCCCCCCTTTCTTTGGAGACTGCGAGTTTAAACAGCTGTGTGAAGGCGGAGAAATGCTTAACTCTTTCTCGTCTCGTCTGCTCTCCAATCCTTTCGTCGCCGCGCATCCCCCCTCACGAGGAGCAAAACAGTTACGGAGCGAACAAAGGATAGAAATAAGTATTCTCACCCCCCCCCCGGTTTGTTTGTTTTTTAAGCACATCGAGGAAAAAAGAAAAAGACACAAAACGGAGCGCGGCGTTTGTTTTTGACTGGCAAAACGCGCCCGGTTTGATTTATTGCCTTCATGTTCTCCGGCGACCGGTAGAAACCAGGCGGGGCTGGAGGAGTCTGCGCGCTGGGGCGGAGAAGAGGGCGCGGAAATCCTCTCCGCTGCTCCCAGGGCTGCAGGAAGAGAAGGGCGGCGACGTGCCTCACCTGCCTGCCTCGAGGGGTGCACCTTCCTCTGCAGCTACGGCCTGACGGGGCAAGGCGAGCTGTGCCGCGGGCGACGAGCTGGCGGTGGAAGGCTTGGACTTGCTCGCCGGCATAACGCTGTAGGGCAGCCCGCAGCAGCAGGAGGCTGTGGCCGGCCTTCACCCAGTTCTTGTACTCCGTGCAATTAAGGCGAGCAGCCAGTTCCGCCAGCGCCATGGCAGGGCACACTCCGCCTTCCGCGTCGGGCTGGGCAGGGCTCGACGCCGGCGCCGTCCTCCTTTTGCCGACGCCGGAGGGAAAACCCGGAATAGGAGCCTATTGTCAACATTGCCAAGGCGCTCGACCCCAAAAGGTCGTTTTGGTTTCCTTCCAGTTATACACAGCTTTCATTTGAGGCATTGCCGTTTTGCCCAGTTTCTCAGGTTTTCGTAAACGTTGCTTGGTTTAATTTGCCACAACCCTTCATTTACGTAAATAGAACCCGAAACTCCGAGGAAGTAATCTGCAACTGGAGAGGAAAGATGGAGAACGGAGATGAGCCGTTGTATTTCGGTTGTATTTTGAAATGCAGGTTGCCTAATAAGTTTTGATGTAGTGGAGACGTGGACAAAGTTTTCGTTTCAGCAGAGTGGCTATGTTGGCATGTTCTAGCAAAAACTCGTCCTGCCGTTTAAAAAGTGTCAGTCCTTATTAAAGTGCCACAGGACTCCTGTTTATGAAAGTTCTAGTTTTAATGCAAGAAGTCAAAAAGATAAACGTATAAGACCTTAAACGGCTCAGAATGGAGTACCTGATAATAGCAGGCATTCCCCACTTCGGTAAATTTTCCTATTCACAAAAGAAAGTTTAGATAGCTTGCCATGAGACATTCTTTAAAACAGACCAACTTTGTAAAATATAGGTCCCTGGCCAGATATTGGGGGGAGGCGTGGCTAATTGCCCGGCACAGTTTGATCTGTGATTACACAATCAGACCTGCGGTGGCACACCAGGGGTCCTTCCCTCAGTGCTGGCACATCACACCATGGGCGTCTGGAGGCAGCCTGTGGCAAATGTTTACTAGTACCTTGGAGGTACTAGTTTTTTAACACCCATCCGAGGGAAGCCACAGGAGCACTACGCTTCCCAGATGTTGCGGTGTGATCGTGCCCGGAAAATCCCCCTATCATCCGTCTCTTTAACACAGCAAATGCTCCATGTGAACAGGGCCATAAATGCCCTTTTCACCACATGCTTTAAAGAGGCATGACCAATCTGGCAGTTACTTCCCTGAAACTCTGACACACACACCCCTTCTTTGTTAGGTAAATTAGTGGTGAGCATTATTTAACACTTAAATTATTAACCAAAGACTCAACGTTGGTAATGCTTCTGCAAAAAATAAAAATATAAAAGGCTGCCTTCACCTATTGGTAACTGGTTGAAGAACGGAAACAGAGGGTAGGAGTAAACATGGAAAATAAGCAGAGACATCCATCAGAATCTGTTTTGGGAATGGTACTATTTAACATTCCAAAGTCGGACTAGAGCAGTGAGGTGTTCTGTTTGCAAATGACACCTAATTATTCAAGATGGTGAATATTCATACAAACTCCAAACAGCTCTCAGCGAAATCAGGTTCAATGTAAGTGTAACACAATACACATTAGGGCAAAACATACCAACTTAACCTCAATACTGATAAACTGTAAACCATCAGTAATTGAATAGCCCTGTCAACTCAAAACATTCCTACAATTATTAGGAATTGGACTGAAAATAAACTGCCGGCATCATCATGGCACTAGCATAAATCTTGGGTACAACTACATTTTGAACACTGGACTACTCATCTCATATACAGGACTGGAAATTGTGCAGAAAAGATCAAAGTGATCAAGTGGTTGGGCACCTTTCCTTCAAGGAAAGATCAAACACTGGGAGCATTTTAAAGCATGGAGTTCATGAAATTATGTATTGTTTAGAGAAAATTGATTTCCCCACCCCCCCCTCTTAAGATGCAAGAGAATAGCCCAATCAACTTTTTGCCAGATAGTTTCAGGAGAAACAAAAAGTACTTCACATAATATATCATTTGTGATTCTGAATTCCATAAGGCAAGCTGATGAGTGCTAGCTTAGATAGCTTTAAAGGGGAGCTACTGAAGAATGGTGTCTAGCAATGGAAACTGCAGGTTCAGAAGCTCAGTGAAGAACAGTGAGTGAGATTCCTGAAAACATATCTCTGGCTACTGTTGGAAACAGGATGCTGATAGGTCTGTAGTACAATCCAACAAAACTGCTCTTGTGTATCTGCATGGATCTTGCACAATATCCCTGCTGACAGAAGGAATTTGCATTAGCAGAACAGGATTTCTCTGCCTCTCTCTTTCCTGCTACCGCTCATATATATCCCCAAAGGCTACTCTTGGGGAACAAGGAATAGCATGAGAAGGGACATGGTCTGCTGAGGGAGGAATCAGTGGAAGTCCCTCCCCTCTTCAGCAGCATAAAGTTTCCTCTGGATCCAACCTTGCGCCTTTACATAGTATCAAGTACAAGGCTGTACAGTATTGTATTGGTCTATACTGTTATGTACATATCAAAGACAAAACAATAAAATGTTAAATGTTTGATTCCTGGTTGCTGATAGTTTGCTCTTCGTTCTCCCAAGCTACCTTTGAAGCCACTCTTATTTATGAAGTTATCTTTAGTTATCCTTGTGACATTTATATCCTGTACTTTGACTATCACTGATGGGTGTCCATTCGTATAACTGATATGAATTTCACATTATGGACTCCACACAGAAGCTGTCTAGAACAGTTTTAGACAGCAGCTATACCATGTAGGCACCTTTAATAATTTACTATAGGGTTCCCCAACATGGCACCAAGGCGCCAACCAGTTCTTCCCAGTGCCCGTTGAGCTTTTTCCGAAAGCGGACAGAGCCAATTGTTGGATGCCCTTATTCAAATAAAAGGATGGTCCATGGCTGCAATAGCAGCTACTGCCACTGAAGGACAAGTACTGAAAAGCAGCCAGGCTTGTGGTTCCATTTCCCCTTTAACTCCTTCTATTTATTTCTCCTTCTCTTTCTTTGGTTACTTTTTTATCCCCCCTCTGCTATTCTTTTGGATCTGCCTCCTGTGGTAGCCATTTTGGGGCAGCACTCACCACCCCCTTTCAAAGTTCCAGAGGTGTCCACAACCTCAAAAAGATTGGGGACCCCAATTTACTACATGTACTATCGTCATGGGGAACCTCCACACCAGATGTCCCTGCAGCTCATGTTGGTGGCTTTGAGTGACTATGTAATACCAGCACTCCACATTGTATAATGTGCACTGCACAGAAAGGCCACCCTAAAAGCCATGCAGTCAGGATCCATCTTACAACTGTGATTTGTGGAACCCAGAGAATGCCTTTAGGAGCCCCCAAGATCCTCTCTTTCCCCAGCCCCCATGAAAAGCAGTGCATAGTATGCAACTTGCAGAATGCTATTACATAGTTTCTTGATGACAACATGAGCTCCAGGGAGATCTGGTGGTAATATGGAGATTCAAAACTGTTTCTACTACTCTCCTGGGTCTCAGTTTACTTTGCCATGCAGCACAGGATGTGGCTTTGGGCACACAGGATCAGTTTTATAGCTCTGCAAGCCACTGCATTATAACAGCTATGGGCAAAGTAACCAAGGTTACAAGGACTGGCAAAACACGCATATGCCTTGTCCCTTAACTGGTCTTTTTGAGATCTCACCAATTTCATAAGGAATCTCACTCTTTAATTTGGTTTGCTGAAGGTGTCCTTAAGCTATTATGAACCTCCCACCAAAAGCATGACATTGTTGTTGTTGTTGTTCAGTCGCACAGTCGAGTCCGACTCTTCGCGACCCCATGGACCAGCCCCCGCCAGGCCCTCCTGTCTTCCGCCGTCCTCTGAAGTTGGCTCAATTTCATGTTCGTTGCATGACATAGCTCTATAATTAGCAACGTAAGATTCTTTTCATTATGTAGGTGAAGTGTTCAACAGAAAACTCACACAAATTTTTAAATCTAGTTTATTAAATATTGCTTTTGGTGGGACATGTTTACAACAAGCCCACTTTTTAAATGTAAGGATTCAAAGCAGTCATATTAAAATACAGATTCAATATAAAGTGTGTCACAGTCTTACAGTATTCAAAAAATGACAGACCTGCCTTTTAAAAAAAGACTATTACACCAAGACATAAGAAAAACATTTAAATAAGCAAGTTTGGCATTTTCATAATCTTTGTAGTATAAAACAGAATATTAACTCTATTTACTGGCAAGCTGATACATAAATCTATTACTAGTTTGAAATGTTTCCTTAAAACATTATATAGAGCACTGTACAAAAAAAAAAAATCTGATGAAAGTGCATCCCTGAAAGTAGGCCAATCCATTGTATTAGCTCTTTTAAAAATGTGACACGCAAAAATGTCTCTTCCATTTTATGTAACTGAAGGTTTTATTTCAGAGAAATTTTTTTGCCGGTTCATCTCATTTTTACCCTTTGTCTAAAAATAGCCTATGGACGCCCACCAGGGGGCAGTGTAAGGTTAGCCATTAAATCACGAACAGCTGCAAAGATTGTACATTCACCTGGAACAAGGGAAAGAAACACAAGTTAGCTCCTGAAGTCCTGGCAGTGATAAATTTAATCAGAGACACTACAAGGTTAATTTTTCCAAAGATGTAATTACACTCAGGTGAAACACTAAATAAGTAACTTAAGTGCAGCTACTACCAGAAACTGTTCAGCCAGCCAGTGTGAAAACTAAATTCTAAGTGTGAACAAAACACAGGTTTCCTCACATCACAATAACTGGGTTGGTTTCTGTCTCCCAAATGTAGGAAAGTGCACTCCACCCCCAGTCACCTGCACAGTGGACCTGTACCAAGATGGTCTGGATCCAAAAGCTAAGATAACTTCCATAACTGCCTCTTTCTTGACCTATATATAAGCTCATATTGTTGTCTGAGGATATCACACAACCTCAATCTGTGCTAGATGAAGGTCCTTGGAGGAAGGAATACAAATGTAAGCAACCCACAAACCGATTTATTTAAAATATGTAAATACCTGCCTTTTCCTGAGTATTTTAATACCCAAGGTGGGTACAATATAAAAACAAATACATGATTATACATGTGCTAGTACGGCTGGGGAAGAACACTATTACCACTAGAAAAGAACCATACAACAGGTCACAGTTAATAGTGGACCTCTGTTTAATTAGGATTCTCAGGTGTAAATAAAAGAAAGTTACTTGCAGCTGCTCTTAACAGAAGCCTGGCTTTCATTAAATGTACTACTGCTATTGGTAGTTTAAGCAGAACACCTACCCCCATACCCCCCAAATATTATTATTTGGAAGTCCTTTTAGTTATAAAGCTAGTGTTTAAAGCTACTGGAACTTTCAAATCAGAAAAGCACATTTCTGATGTCACTGACAACAAGAAATCAACTTCAGCTATTCCACAGAAGCAGTAATGAAACTCTTGTAGATAAAGAATGAAAGACAAAGATCAGCCACCACTGCAAATTAACCAGCTCAGCCACAATGATTCTTGCTAAGTTAAAAAAAATAAATAATCAGAGGCTATGTTATTGGTTTTGGAGTGCTCTTTTTAAAAATTATGAATCTGTGAGGATTTGATCATTTGGGAATGTTTCTAACAAAGTATTATCCCTTATTTTACAAATTTTTAAAGACAGGAAAGCAGTGAAAAATAGCCATAGAATCTTCTTCAAACTCCAATTTAGGATGTTGATGCCAATGTATTTTAGGATAACTGAGCAAGTATGGACAAACCCCCAAATGTCAATTCCAAGAATTCTCTTCAGTAAAGCTCTACAACTTGTAGAGCCACATGAGAAATGCCTCACTTGTAAAGAAAACATGTGTTCAATCTATATATCTAATAGCCAACTTGCCCCCTCCGTGCGGATCGCTAAATCAGCACGGAGGGGGCAGCTGGGGGGCTGGGGGAGGTTTGTGCACACGTGGGCCAGTCCCCATGTGTGCACAAAAATACAAAAAGTTTTTAAAATTTTCGGGGGGATGTTTAAATCCCCCCGAAAGTGCAAGAGCGTCTCCTGCGCATGCGCAGGAGACGCTCTGCAACGCCGCCGCCACCGCCGCCTCGGAGCCAGCCGGCGGGCTGGCAGGCGACGGGGGGGGGAGGAAGCTGGGCCTCACCGCTGCCGCCGCCTCCCCGGAGCCGGCTGGCCAGCCGGCCGGCTGGGCGCAGAGGCCGGCCAGGCGGGGGGGCCGGGCAGGGAGGGGGGCGGGGCTCGCCGCGGGGAG